TCAGGCTCGAGAACCAGACAAGGCCCGCACTCGACCCACCGATGGCACAGATTCTTCCATCACAGCCGTACAATAACTAAATCCTGGTTCCGTGGACCTCGAAGCACCAGCTAAGCACCCCGTAGCGGACTGAGAAGACGGAGAATTGCCCCAAGATATAACGCCGGAAGAGGATTCAAGCATGTGATTGGGAATCACGAAGGGGAACCTTCCGGTACCGTGAAGGATGAGGCCTATGAGCCGAAGCCGGAGCCGCAGACTAGTGACGGCCAACATGCAGAACGGCCCCAGATTCTGACATTGGCGTCAAGGCTGATTCTGTGGTAACGGGGGTTGTTCAAGCGCCAGAGAGTACGCCAACTAGTGGGGTTCTGGATTCTCATCAGAGCGATCAGGCAACAGGAGATGGTGAAGATACGGAAGTCATTATGACCCAATCCTCGTTTCTCGGACAGGGCAAATGCGATGTGCTTTCGAACTCTCGTGAGTCTCGGCTTGATCAACGCGGGGACTATTCTGCAGCAGCTGGGGCGGGCGGAGATGGTACACCTCTAGACGATCAGGACCCTGGTGACACAACCGAGTCTCGGAAACAGGACCCCCGCCACAAAGAGATGAGGCAGATATCGGATTCAGTTCTCAATGAGAGGGATGAAATTCTCTCCAGAGAGCCTCAACTAAATCCCGAACTGTCTCAGTCCAAAACGCCGTCATAACCCAAACGTTGAAGATAAGTAGTAAGCAACGCGGCTCCGGTCCGAAGTGAATTGTCAGTTTCGGGCGCACCGAATGTTCCATACCTTGATACGGCTATTCTGGTACATGAACTGGGCTTCTCTCCTACCTTTCTGTACAACTAGGCCTCGCTAGAGATGCTGTAAATGGGCAGGATAAGACGAACTCTAGTCCTCCTGTAGCAACGCGAATGATCATACTCCATCCTCCTCATCATCAACCTCCAAATTCAAGCTGGTGGGTGAGCAGTGTTCCACTGAGCATCTTAAGGTTCCTTGCAATCGGTATGGCTGAATACGTCACCTACCTCTCCTTGACGTCTAATCACGCTCGACACGCCGACGTATGGTTTGACCTGAACTCCCAGGTTTCATAAATCAGGCAAATGCCCATGCTGTGGAGGAATGGTTCTTCCAACAGGAGTCAGTGGTGGGGTTCATTCGTTCTGGCCAATGCCCTCTGGACGTGGATACACTACTGATAACCCTAACCTATGGGATCGCTTCTAGATAATTTAAGGTAAGTTTCTGTTCTTACCTCTGAAGATCGTATTCTTACTCCAGCACCGTATCTGGGCTGTGGTCTGCTTGCCTGTCCGAACAGTAACCTGTTTCTGTGCTGTTTTGCTCAAATACTGGCGACTATTCCGCGATCGAATATACTGGACGGTGGGCAGTGTTCCAGGAGATGCGTATCTTATCGCGCTCGTTTATTCCACTGCTTCGCTGTATTTCGAATGGGATCGCAGCCGCAAGCAAGCCAAAGATATCTTCAAATACAGAATTTTGGAGAGCAACCTTTTTAGATCATTGACCGTTTGCGCAACGATATGGCCAAGGGTTATGCCTTAGTACATTTGAGAGGTATGGAAGTTCTACCAAGAAAATGGCGGGCATGGCAGCCGTCGGTGGTCCCGCCGCCTCAAGTTCGTCGTCGTTCCGGCAATGATTCTGTACGGCGTCTACTCGGCCTCTGAAAGCGCGATCAAGGACGAGGAATTGGCTGCACTGGGGCGTTTCGCATATCTGAATTCGAAACTCTGCGAACACGACAACCTTAAGTGTCTGAGTCACCGATAGTACGAAGCGTGTTGTCTGGGCTTGTATTTGAGCAAGTATGCGACAATCGAGATGTGTCCATATACCCCACTAGGCGACTCAGCCGACGGAGTTTTCAAGCCGTATGACACGATCACCGGAATCTGCCCCGCTCCTGTATCCCAAGAACGTTCCAAGCGGAAAGTCAAGGCAGCCGCGTCGATTGTCGAAAGTACTCCTCCTGCCAGTTAGAAATTGTGTGGCCCTAGTGGTGTTACTGTTCTTGAGACTGGAACACGCTCCACCTGCAATACGCACTACGTCGATATCGGCACCAAACGTAGATGCTATCAAGAATGTACGCCCAGAACTCCCGATCCAATTTCGACGCCAACCCCATCAACATGGGGAATGACTTCTTATTCAAATGTGTACCCGAAAAGTAAGAATCCGTCCAGTGAGAATAACAGATGCTGGCTGGAGTGACGCAAGAGTATCTACAATACTGTCCAAGGTGGTTGGAAAAGAGAGAAGGTTGTATAGTATCATGCAGTTGGCGTACAGGATCGATGTAGAGTGTTGGATAGATGAATGGAAATAAGGTGAGGTAGAAAGACGCTGATTGCTATTTTTAGTCCGAAGTGGTGATGCTTGGCTTGGTGGTGAGGGGTGCCCTGAACACGTCAGTGGCGGGGCATGAGCTGAATATCGTGTATATGCTTCAACGACACCTCGTCACTTTTAGATAGATAATATTTCTTCTTGGGAGTCTTCATCATACATTATTTTCTTTGCATTGCATTTACTGCGACTTATATTTGTATATTTGCATATTTTCGCGGATCATATCATCGTCAACGCCATCGGAATAAGGCTAAAGTTAGTCAGATGGAATCAACATGTCGAAGCTCAAATTCTCATCCATCATATTGTTCATACAGCAATCTTCCAGCTCTGATGGGACCCACAGAGATGAATTTTGGTCGTGAACCTACAAGTTACCCATTATTATAGCCGAATCCGCGATTCTCTTGTCTACATACCTAAATCTAGCCCTCTAAAGCATCCTGTATCCATAACAACAAGTGGCGTACGGCCAAAGGAAAGGTGTTGGAGGTGTTTGTCCTTTGCATTTGTCGCCTAATTACGACCCACCCCTCGCTATGGCAAACCCCAAAAAGACCTACTTCGTAACACCTTCTTTCGACTACCCACCAACCGGCCCCATACGTCTTGGTAACATCCTCACCGGCCCGTCTTCCCCGGACCGCCCACTCAATCCAGATTTCGCTCCCCCACCCAGCCGAATCTCTTACGGCGACGACTAAAACAGACTGGAAATCCACACTCAGTAAATCTTCCTCCGGCTCCGTAGGCCTGTACGCCAAATTTCTAGAAATGATTTTAGGTGCAGGGGTTGACGTCAGTCGGAATTGGGAAAGTGAGAGGGAAGAAGAATTTGCTTTTGAGAATTTGGAGATTGTGTTTTTTGACCCAGTGGGCGTGGGGATGGACGGCACCGCCCTAGCCGCCCCTGTAGAAGTCGGACCCGAATTGGAAGTGCAGAAGGAGAAAGGAGAGGGTGTGGGGTGGAGCACGAGTGATGATTTTGTGTTTGCGTATAGGGTTAGTAGATTAAAGGTCAAGGGGAAGACGGGGGAGGTGAGAGAGGAGGAGCATACGAAGGAGGGGCTTTATGGGTTGCCAGAGGATGAAGAGAAAGAGAGTGGTGAAATCTTCAATATTGAGAAGCTTGAGGGAGATGAGGCTGTTGCAGGGGAGTTTGGGGATGAGGGGCTAGCTAATGTGGAGGATGAGGACGAAGACGAGTGTGTTTGTGTTTTGCCGCAGTAGGCTGGGGAGTATGGGCGGGACACCATGTGACTGTGCTGGCGAGTAAAGCGTCGAACTTCCTCGTTCCTACCAGAGTGACTATTCCTCAACGACCAGTCCCAAGCAGGTGTTATTTGTCCGTTCTCTCCTTAATTGATCGTAAATATGAGTTACGTTGATGAGCTTCTTGGTCTGTCAGAGAAAATTTCGGATTTCCTACCAGCAATTGATAATCTTGAGCACCTTGTCAGCACTCAAGTCCAAGATTGTATAAAGTGCCGGCGTCTCCGACTTTACATCGACTTTGCGGACGAAGAGCCCTGAGACTATTGACGAATATCTGAACTACTTAGAGTGGCGGAGAGAGATTGTCGGTTATGGCGCCAAGCTCTAAATCATTGCCACTTGCCCACATCTTCCAGAATTTCTCGGGGATCATACATCCGTTCATGAAATTTGAATAAATGAGAGAGCAACGATGGAGGACCAGGTGAGGAGACTTATTCAGAGTGTACTCAGACAAAATGAATCCTTATCCAAAGGAGCCCAGAATGGTTGAGACAGTAGACCAAAGCCAAACACAAAGACGCCCCATGGCAGATGATGCCCTATCTGATAAAGAAGTGGAAACAGTTCCTGATTTAACAGCACCATCTGCCTCGGCACATACGGAAAAATCGAATCATTCTGGGCCTGGAGGCGGTATGGCAGACGAGCCTCCATCTGATAAAAAGGTGGAAACGAGACCTAATCCATCGGCACCATCTGTGTCCTCAAATACGGAAAAGTTGGATCGTTCTGAACCTGTAAATATAGCCGGTTATCGAGCGGATAGACAAACTTATAACGATATTAGTGGGCGGGTTGGCCATCGGACGCCCAGGGGTGGATACCGCTGAGTGGCTAAGCTTTAATATCGTGCTGAAAACTCGGGACATGAGTAAAAGACTGAAGAACTTTGATGGGTGAGATCTTGAGAGGCGAGCCAAGTTTTAAGATACATCATCTCTATGAAAACTGTTATACGAACCCAATCCAGACGGTACTCCACATGATCCCACAATGGCACACTTGTATCTTTTTTTTAAAAAAAAAAAATTGCTAAGAGAAGTGAGAGTAAGTCGCGCGGCAGATTATCGATCTGTAAGCCCCCCAGATAGCGGAGATGTATAGTTATATACCACTGACCAGTGGTCCTTGAAACGAGCATTGGTAGCTTTGTTTTGTCAAATATAGAGGAATGTAATGCGATATAGCGTAGTAGAAGAACTATTTCAGTGAATTTTTCCTAACCAGGGTTAGGTAAAATAAAAGGATAATCCATGAAAGCCTACAGATATGCCCAAAAAGAACAAAAGTTTTCCCGAATACCCAAGCTAGAGCTGGGACGAATGATGATGAGAGTGGGACTCGAACCCACGCCACTTTCGTGACCAGGAATTAATATTAAGGTAACCTTAACCTGGCGCCATAACCTATTGTCGTTAAATTTTTTTGTCATTCTGGTGATTCTTTTAACATACCAACTCGGCCATCTCACCCAGCTTCGGAACAATTTTGATTAATAATCCAAATTAAATAATTTTATATAGACCTTAAAAAAGAGGTAGTGTACTGGGAGGTATTTGTTCAGAATCGGCGACTTGATTCGAGTTTGGCTCCTACTAATTGTGGGTGGAAAGTGCGAATTCGGTTCGGCTAGTCGCGGAATTTCTCTAAGATGCCGTACCTGCCGTCACATGTTTAACATCACTATCTTTATAACCAAAAATAATGGTATGTAGACTTATTTCTAAATAAAAACGTAAACCGTTTCATATTTGAAAATAGCTAATCTGCAATACATGGCTGGTCTAACAAGTTGGTAATCAAAAAGCGGAAATGCAGCATAGAGGGAACTGGAGTAGTATTTAGGTGTGGAAAACTCAAACTCCCAAGAGTGATATGGGGGCTTGCAGATATACGTTTGAAGCGGGTTAGAATTGGCGGGTAATAAAAATCATTACAACGTAGTGATTATTCAAGATCTTCCTCTCCGGTCACGTGCCTCCCTCTTCCTCCCCCTCTCCTTTTCATTAAAATATATAAACGCCCTTTCTCCTTCGTCGTATCACCATATCCATGCAGCGCGTCTAGGAAACCAAGATGTATCCTCTGACACAATATGATTCAAAAAATTTATACTGGCACTCCACGTCTAAAATCCATGTCCACTGTCGAGATGTCCAAAACCTACTAATTCCGAAAGAAATGTAAAAAATGATTGTCAAAATCAACTCATACCAAAAAATCAGCGGCTCTCAAGCGTGGCTGAACTCTGACTTTCAGCGAAAGCATGCCTGAAGGAGCTGGAACTTATAGTAAGGTAAATATCTTACCCTCCACCTGATGGTTGAAATATAACTTGCAGAGATAGCATATTCAAAAGTTGTGGGCGATGCTAATATAGGTGCCTCTGAATGGTATCTACTTAGTAAGAATATATGTGAAGACGAAAAAGAAAGATATACTTCTACATTGCCATGAAAGTAGTGAAAGAAAATGTTAATGAAACTTAAATATGAGATCAATAATGGTGTGAGTAGGGAAGGAACTTGACGCTCTCACGCAAAATTACAACACCAAGGTATTGTCGCGAGATTTTCGCCATAGCAACGCATACCAATAGTACTGTGTGACCCATTGACGATCCCTTTGCCCATGATATTAGTACTCTCTTCGCAGACAGACTTAGCAAATATTTCGAAAAAAGAGAAGGCCATGATTTTCCACAGAGGCATCGATTCTATGACGGCGATAATTCCGAGAAGGGACTTAGAGAAATCGTGATATAGCCTCAATTTTGCGAAGGCCATAGTTTTTGATATCGATAATTATGGACCATGATTATGTGATGTAAATTCTGAAATAGCCTTGACTCTGATATGACCGCAGGTCAGCGATAATTTCAAGTCTGCATAGTGCCTTAGGAATAACCCTTCAAATCTCCCAAAAAAAAAAAAAAAAAAAAAAAAAAAAAAAGAGAAAATGGAAAAAAGGGAAAATAAAAAGGAGGGAGGGGAGAAGGGGGGTGTTTAACCCACAAGTTCCCCACCCATTGAGATAATCTCCAGACCCGTTTCGGGATGGTGATAACTTACCAAATTCCCCCTGTTTCCGCCACCACGCCACACACCGCAGGAGATTAGCGTACATTTCCATTTGGAGGGAAAGAGGACTTACCTTACACTACAGGATTTTAGCGTATTCTTCCAATATGGGGGTGGAGACTTACCTAGTTCTTAAAGGCGAAGCGAAGAGCCTCGCCATTGCTTGGCTTTGAACCTGTTAGCCTTGGTTACCGCGTTGACGTTTGGGGGCGTTGATCGGGCCGCTAGGCCACCCCGACGAGATAGGAGAACTTGTGGTTGTTTTTGTCTAAGAGATTTGGTGACTTGTACCCTTATATGGATTAAAACTGATTACGAGAAATAATCATTGGGCACATTGCGGGATTTGAGAAAGGGATTTGGTGGGTTGGTCTGTGGGCGAGCGAAGGCGAGGTTGTTGAAGATGGCATTTTGGTATTGAGGAAGGGTTGGTGATCAGAATTTGGGGGAGCGGAATGCGAAATAGGCGCCAAGATCCAATAACGAGGGGCAGAATTTCTGCAAATTGGAAAAAAGAATGAGTGATGCGTATAGAATTGTCTTGTATGCCCAGAATAATTAATTCGACGGGTTAGTGGTTGATAAATAGGTGCGAGGAGGAATCGGCCAAAACGAACTTCTGAAGTGTCACAACTCCACAACGACAAAGAAAACGATTTTGAGAATCACCATGAAGGATAGGAAGGCACTAAGGAATCATCTCCAATGACGAAAATGAATTTTTTGGAAGCATTCTTGGTGGGTGCGACGCATTCGGGGGTCTTTTGAGAATCGTCGCAGCACTATCAACACTGCAGGGAACATAGCACACCACAGCAGGATGGAGATCATCTATCGCAGAGGGAGGGAGAGACATTCACGAGAATGGACGAGAGGATAGGAAGCTCTACGTCCCACATGGAAGCAAAGAAAATGGTCATCCAGGGCGAGGAAATATGAGAAACCCACGTGGCATCTTCTTTGGGTGATGCAGAATTTTCCATTATGCCAGTCATTCCACAACTTTGGGAAGATTGGAATGAAGAAGTTCTCACGCATCTTACGATCATTGGGCATCCTTTATGGCGTCTTAATGCTCGTTCAAGTGCGGTCTACGATCTCGCTCGAGAAAGATTCATCTGGAGCCGGCGGCATCGTTGTGGGTGTCAAAATGCACTCAACAACGTGCTTTCCCGATAGCTCAAAGCCCATGCGTTGTGATTCTCCATGGACTGAGGACAATCCCAAATGGGAAGTGCGATGCAGGAGTGAGGTTGATCTCGCTTCACCGATCTTGACCAAATTCGGAGCGGGTCCATCTTGCCCAATCGGACTGTTGAGAGCTTTCCCTTACCCAAAACCAACAACTCTCTACGAACACCCATATCGATGCATTCAACCACCATGGCACCTTCCAGAGGCCTATATCACGTGCAGCACACCTCGCACAGGCTAATTGAGGGCGGCAGAAACATGGCGCTGGCTCGTCGGGCCTTCACATCGTTCTCAGAGAAGGTCGCAAACCCCGCGAACAGGGTCCAGAGCTACATCTCGCGAAGCAACAATCCCTATCTGAACCTCTCCATCGAAGATCACATCCTGCGAACTTCACCTCCTGACTCCGCAATCCTCTTCCTCTATACCAACCGACCCTGCGTCGTCATCGGACGCAACCAGAATCCATGGCTAGAAGTAAATCTCGGCATACTCAACGCGGCAAAAAGCGGAAGAGCAAAAGACACAGAACCCCCTGCTATCGGCAACGTCGATCTCGTGCGACGACGCTCTGGCGGAGGCACGGTATTTCACGATGAGGGCAATGTCAATTGGAGTATTACTTCTCCACGCGCCGAATTTACACGCGACAAGCATGCCGAGATGGTGGTGCGGGCGCTCCGCAAATTGGGCATCGCCCGAGCAAGAGTGAACGAGCGGCACGACATCGTCCTTGATCAGGGCCACGTGAAGCGCGACTGCGATTCGCAGGACACGCATAGGACACCGTACACGATTGATGATGGAGCTGGACCACGGCCGCTGAAGGTCTCGGGGTCGGCGTACAAACTGACCCGGGGGAGAGCACTTCACCACGGCACGACTCTGCTTGCGTCTCCGAACTTGCACATCATACCGCAATATCTCCACTCGCCGGCGAAGCCGTTCCTGAAGGCAAAGGGCGTTGAAAGCTTTAGTTCTCCGGTTGGGAATATTGGCTTAAGGGATGAGATATTCCAGAAGTATCTACAGGAAGAGTTTGCGGCCATGTATGGCGCAGGCGGCAAACAACCCACTGTGGAAATAGTCGGAGAAGAGTATTTGAATATCCCGGAGATCAGGAGGGGATATGAAGAGCTTCGGGTTTGTTGCCATAAGTTCTGAGATATCTTTGGTAGTACGCTGACTGTCTGCAGACAGCGGACTGGATGTTCTCTCAAACACCGCAGTTCACGCTCACAAATTACCCGACAAACGAATCGGCGAGCTCCAATAGCCACATCAACCAGACGCTGACGACTCCGGTAAGTAGGATATGCCTTTTGTTATGTGAGTATATAAATGGATCACCGGGGTGAGATAGGAAGACCGACTGCGGGGAAGTACTGTTGACCATGTGGTTGACAAGTTCCTAGGTTGCCCGATTCCACATGACCATCCATCATGGGGTTATTAAGGATTGCGAGATAGATGGTCCTCAATCTTCGAAAGACACGCACGACAGAATTCGGACCCAACTACTGGACCGGAAGCTTCAAGACATTCAAAATTGGAGCGACCTTTTAGCGCACGATGGTCAGGCCGCACATCCCGAAGTGACCATGATTGCGAGATGGCTTGCGGAGATCATGCCAACCCCACAGCTTCCCAAACCTGATTGTATATACTGAACCTCCTACTTTGGCCCTCCTGTATGGTAGACCGAGAACATCGGCGAACATCCTTGTGGAATTGATATTGCGAAATTCCAACTATTCCCGATGCTGCCAGGTCATCCTTATTCGATGATCGGGACAGGAGAGAGGATCCATCTCGTGGGTAGAATTTTCCCCAATGAAGTCGACTGCTTCTCTCCTGCAGAATCCCCGTGAGACACCACATGACATGGATGAGTCACATCCTTCCGAAACCTTGGACGGAGCATCGACTGCTTTGGTATCATCGCCTCTAGCTGTCCTTGCTCCTAATGGTTTGCCATGTGCCTGTTTGCGGTAGCAGCATTTAATTGCGAATACGAGAACTTCTTGAATATTAGGACCATTAAAGCTGAGACTCCTTGCCGTGAAGATGGTTGATTTAGCGGATGTGGTATCTCAGGAGTGTCATGCATCTCCATGCACCGCTGCTCCCGATTTTAGCAACGATCGCACGTCCCAAGAGAATACTCATAATGGCTGGCCACACCCTTCGGATGGTTC